CCTGCTCACCTTATATATGGACCAATATCAAAATAATTTTAACATACAAATCACTAGTGGTTTGACTGGTTTTAGTTTGTATGTTAAGGTAATGTGTGTGCATGCACACATGAGTGTCTTTGTGTGTGTGTGTGTGTATATATATATATATATGACTGTATTGTCAGACAATGTGTATATTAAACCTATAAGAAAGTGAGGTTTGCAATTGTCTGAATCTGTAAAATACTGAACTGTTATCTTGTACAACAAAACAAGGGGTTTCAAATGTTTCTGAAGGCCTGAACCTGTTCCCATTTAATTTAACAGTGGTTTTTGCCATTCATTTCAGGGGGAAGAGATTTGGTCTTTTGAGTGCAGACAACTGAGAAGCCAGAAATGATATACAAGGTTGTCTGAAGCTTTCCTGGTAAATCTAAACAAGATTTGGTTTTTATTTCATGGTCAATCTTATATTTATTAGAGTACTTTCCCAGTTCCAAAGGGATTTAGATATGCTGCAGAATTGGGATGACACATGTGAAATCAAATTTGCCACTGGCAAGTATGAATACAAATATGCACATCTGTCTTCAAAATAAAAACAAGTAGAAAGATGGCACTGAACTAACTAAAGACCTTCTAGTGACAGACTCCTCTGTCAATCCTTCTTTGTCATCTATTGAAGCATTTAAAATTGTCAGGAAAATGCATGGAATGTTGTGACATTTGGGGTTCACCCAGGCCCATAAGGGGTTCAGTCAACACCTGCATTGTAACCTTAGGTGTCTTGTGAGTATGCAGTTTGGTTCAGAGCTCCAGACCCAACAGCCTGACAGGAGCCCACAAGCTTTACCCTGGATTTGCCCAACTTGGATACTCCTTGCAGGCAGACCTTAGTACCCTTCCAGCCCAGAATGTGCCCTCCCTGCAGGGTCCAGTCACGCTCACTGGAACCTAACAGAAATTTATTAGGTTCGCTGCCTCTACAGAGACAGTACAATAATATTCCAATACCAGAAGCACACACTTTACTGAACTTACCCAGCACCGATGATATATAATGAAAGCAAGTTTATTAACAAAAAAAGTATGGATTAAGTGATACCAAGAAAATGAAAATAAAGACAGAGATGGTTATCAGCAAGTGAAAATGAAAACATTCATCTAAAAGTCTAAAGCTTAATTTAGCAAGAAAGTCTTTGTTCAAGATGTTTTTTTCTCTTACCCACAGTCTCCTTTGCAGCCTTTTACTGGCTGGCCTGGCTAGGACCCATCACTAAAATCAAATTGCTTGGTTTGTCTCCTTAAAGTGAAGGATAACTTAGCGGTTTGCTCCCCCTCTCTTTATAGTTCTGTGAACTTTTTAAATGTATAATTGTGAAGGGTACTCCCAGATATAGTTAATTAGTTCATGCTGAGTAAAGGAGCCAGGAGGTCTGAAAGATAAGGCTCCATGCTGGTTTCTCCCCACCTGTAGTTGCTACTATGCAAATTCTCTCTTCCTCCTGCAACCTCCGATACAAATGAATAGTGCAATACAAATTGCAGTGGTTCTCAAACTTTAGGAACCTGAGGGCCCCCATTTTTATTTAAATTTTCCGGGGACCCCCAAACACCCCAGCTCAGCCCTTGCCCCACCCCCCATGGGCTACAGACTGTGGGCTGGGAGTTTGGGTATGGAAGGGAGCAGGGTGCAGGCTGGGAGTTTGGGTGTGGGAGGGGGTTTGGGCTCTGGGAGGGAGTTTGGTTCAAGGAGGGAGTGCAGGAGGGAATTAGGTGCTGGAGGGGGCTCAAGGCTGGGGCAGGAGGGTAGGGTGCGGGAATGGGTGAGGGGGATGGCACTTACCTCGGGTGGCTCCCGAAAGCGATTGGCACATCCCTCTGGCAGCGGCTCCTAGGCGGGGGGCCAGGAGGTCTCCACACGCTGTCCCTGCCTGCAGGAACTGCCCCTGCAGCTCCCATTGGTCGCAGTTCCCGGCCAATGGGAGCTGCGGCGTTGACGCTCGGGCCAGGGGCAGTGCATGGAGACCCACTTCCCCCCGGGACGCAGGGACGTGCTGGCCGCTTCCAGGAGTGGTGCGGTCTCAGGTTCCCCACTCCTTCCCCTCCCTCCCAAGGCCTCTTTCAGGCTGGGGAACAGCTTCTTCAGGCCAGGGAACAGCTGTTCCCTGGCCTGAAGGAGGCCCTGGGAGGGAGGGGGAGGAGTTGAGGGAGGAAGGAGGGAGGAGTTGATCAGCAGGGCCCGCAGACATCCCGGAGTACCCTTGGGACCCCCAGGGGTCCACGGACCCCAGTTTGAGAAACGGTGGTCTATTGAAAAGGGAGCACACCTGGTCTGAGGTGTCGGCCTCCTTCCTTTGTTTATCAACTCCCCCTGACATGCCTGGTTTAAACACCTTTTAGGTCACAGACTTTAAAACACAGCACTAGTGACCATCCGTACTTTTACATGCAGCATGGCTACATATATTTTACAATGATATTATTGCCCAGTGTGTTATCAGTTTTCAAATGATACTTCACAAGGCATATTCTGTACAAAATTATTGCAGTAGTGTGTGGGGTGTGAATACAGGGTGCCTTGGATCACAGATATACCTTAAACAATTCAACTTATATCATGGCAAAAAATGAGAAAATATGGTACATGTACCTAATATATTTTTTTGTTGTTTAATCCAATCTAATAATGTGGGTTAAGTATTAGATGAGATTTTTTCCCCACCCATGTTATCCATGTGTGAAAGTTGGACAGTTAGGCACAAACCGATTAACTTTTAGAAAAGTAATAACCATAAAGGATTATGGGCCTAATTCTCATTTACTCTAAAACCCTTTTACACTGCTGATAGTGAAAAGGGATCTTGAGATGGGTGTAAATTAGTGGGGTCTTAGTGTAAATGATAACCAGTCCTTAAGTATTCTTCTGGGTCAGGATCTATGTATGAGCCCATCCCAGAGGACTGGAATCCAGTTCACACAGAGGAGATGTGACGATTCATCTATGATCCTCCTCTCCCCATGTGGAACTCATACCTACATGTGAAAGGAGTCTGGACAACCCAGCTATGTCTGAACACTACCACATCGGCTCAGGATGTCTGGTGGGCGGGAATGCTGGAGTTGAGCCAGGTAAGAGGAAGGATAATGAGAGACAGTGGGATTGTCAGTTCAGTAGATAAAAATTTTGAGGAGTTTGCTTGCAACTGGCAAATGGGAATTGTGCAGATATTGGAGGTTAGAAGAACAGGAACCAGATTTTAAGAGTATGCTAAAGCAGGGGCATAGAAAGGTGAAAGAGCACTGAGCAGGGGATGGAGAGTTCTGAGCCACTTCCACAATTGCTAATGGGGACCTAAATGGAGAGTCTATTTCTGCATTATCATTGATAGGTACCTTGCATCTTACGGTACGTCTTCACTACCCGCCGTATCGGCGGGTAGCGATCGATTTATCAGGGATCGATATATCGCGTCACATTAAGACGCGATATATCGATCCCCGAACGTGCTCCCTGTCGACTCCGGAACTCCACCGGAGCAAGCGGCGGTAGTGGAGTCGACAGGGGAGCCACGGCCGTCGATCCCACGCCGTGTGGACCCCAGGTAAGTCAATCTAAGATACTTCGACTTCAGCTACGTTATTCACGTAGCTGAAGTTGTGTATCTTAGATCGATCCCCCCTCCCCCCAGTGTAGACCAGCCCTCAGTCCCTTGCATTTGTTCAGCATCTCATTTACTCAGATACTATGGTTATGGTGGTAAAATAAAAACCTAAATGGAAAGAATTTTTTTTTCCTTATCATTGCTCTGACTTTCCCAGTCTTGCATATCCCTTGCATGGTTCTTTCATTTTTCTCAGTATGAGTAGTATAATTCACAGCTTTTCTGCATTGCATAAGGAGACAATAACACCAGTGCACGGCAACTCCGCACAACCTGTACCTGTGCCCATGACAGTTTAAAGTGATGAGGCATTCCTTGCAATTGCCCACAAATACCACAGGTTGGTTACAGTCTGAATAAATGGCTGAAACAGAAATACACTAGGGCAGTGGCTCTCAAACTGTGGGTCATGATCCCAAAGTGGGTCATGACCCCATTTTAATGGGATCGCCAGGGCTGGCATCAGACTTGCAGGGGCCCGTGGCCAAAGCCAAAGATTGAGCCCCACCACCTGGGGCTGAAGCTGAAGCCCTTGGGCTTCAGTCCTAGGCGGCGGGGCTCAGGCTTCGTCTTTGGCCCCTCACCCAGGAGAGCGAGGCTCGGATGGCCTCAGGCTTTGGTTCCCTCCTCTTGGGGTTGTGTAGTCATTTTTGTTGTCAGAAGGGGGTTGCAATGCAATGAAGTTTGAGAAGCCCTATGGTCTGCTTTTCAGAGGGTTTTCATGCCCAGTATTTCCCCCCACCATGAGAGCCATTTTACTGTCACAAAACCAGAGGTCATTTCTGAAATCAGGCCCTCAATGAAGAGGCTGTATTTTCAGGTGTAAATGAAAGCCATAACCTAAGAAAAGCATCATGTAGGTCTGCTGTCTCATACCAAGATGACCCTTTGCAATGCATTTAATTTTGTATTTTTTTACAAGCTGCAAGGGCAATATATATTTACATGCATAATTATGATTAAAATGAGTTAGTAACATTTTTATTTTTAATGCATACTTTCTGTCTATGCAGGTTAACAGTTTAGGAGAAGGGCAGTATGAGAATAATTATTTTATGTGCATATTTTGGTTTAACTAATTGTTTTAAAATTTATAAATCTGTTGTAACTAATCATAAGCATAAATGTTACATACTGGGGGAAAGACACCTGTAAGGACTGATTTGCAGGTACTGACTTCTGTGAACATCCTCACTTGAGCAAACTTAGTTTTATGTGGATTTAAAACACTAAAATCAGAATGGTAGTTTTGCATCCATTTTGCACATGCATAAGTGACTTTTCAAGGTGCAGGTTGATAGATAATCCGGATGTTTATTTTAACTGTTTCAACACCATGTTTTTATGCCCTACCTATGTGCAGGTATCCTACGGTTCCCAGCAATCAGGATAACATCACAGAGTTGCTGTTGCTTCAAGTAGCTTTCCATCTTTCTGAAGGTTTGTTCAGCATGGTGCACTGCCTGATAGAACTCCTCAGAGCTACTGGAGTCCATATCACATTGAGGTGTCAGGGGATGGCCGGCTGCTGACAACCTGTGAAACACAAAAGAAAGGAAGTGTTGAAATGCCACTAATTGTCTAATCTTAATCACAGACTTCTAGAGGGTGATAGGGAGAAAACAATGCATCTTTTCCTATCATCACTGGAAGCACAAGACAGCAAAATATTTTTTTCAGTTTAAAGAACCAACTAATGTACGTAACAGTGGCTTAGCAAAACCATTGTTATTTCAGGGACACTGAAAAAGTATATCATTTCTTTCAGCTAAAGAAAAATATTATTAAATCTGGAAAAGTCAAAGAATAAATACGAGTTTAACATACTTATGCTAATATTAATTGTAAAATTTGGTCTTTAGGTTATTGAAAAATTAACTTTCATTATCTTGTTACTATTTTTGCACTGTAAATTCTTATTATTGACAAAACTGTATAAGTTGCTATTTATACAGGAATTTTTGCAACAAAATACATGGAAAAGTGAGTTGTCACAGAAGAAATTAAGAAATAGAACCTCTCTATACTTTTTATAAGTGTGCCTTGTTTAGTGCAGTTCTTTAAATCTTAACATTGTTATGATCCACTTCAGAAGACAAAACTGACTTCACTGGAAACACAATTGGGCCCTTAGTGTGGTAATAAATATCCAACACTGAGCCAGAACTTTAACAAATAGTTAATGATGCTATACTTAATTTAGCATATTGTGGTGAGCTATTTGTGATACCAAAATTCAGAAAGCAGGTCTTAGAGATTAGGGATAGATGTAAAATGCCTATGAAGATCCAAAACCTTGGATTTCAAAGTTTGAAGAGTTTCAGATCTGAGTACAAGCCCTTTGCTAAAAGTAAAAATATCTGCCATCAGAATTATTGATCCTCCACGTGAGTTTGTGCTCCCAATCATTCCTTGAGCAAAATGGAAGTATGGTACAAAAACAATCCTCTCCTTTTACAAACATTTTGTGTGACTACTTCAAATTAAAACTGTGGATATTTTTCATATCTAGTGGTGTTAAAAATGGTGTGTTTCACATAAAATTCATCAAATTCTTCCACTCAGCCAAACCTATTCAAATCATCTAAATCAACAGGATGGTATCAGAGTAACTGAGGGCAGAATTTAGCCCAATATATCAAAGATATGCTCAATTAATAAAAAGCAATCACAATGTACAAATATTCTATCAAAATGAAAATGCTAAAGATAACATACGGTGATTATTGATAATTGATAAACAGTGATACAACCTTTTCAAAGCAAAAGTTGACTCCAGTAACAACAATATTCCAGTGACATTATTGACAGTTCCGCAGCACCATACACAGGACTTAACTATGCATACCCAACACAGGCAAAATTCCTACTGAAGTCAATAAAGTAATTTCACAATTATATGTTAAAGCAGGAAAAACAGATGCCATAAATAATAAAAACAAAAACAAAAACAAAACCACAAGAATGTTTACTTTTCTCTGGTTGCAACTTCTCTTTAAGTGTATAAAAGAGTTATAGTAACTATTTCTGCTTTTCCATATACACATACCAAAGATTTTATATTTTCAGATTCTAAATCTGATCTGTATCCAAAGCTATTCCACTACTATATCCTGCTGTTATTGCCAGGTAAAAGAGGGCAAGACTAGGAAAGCATCCCTATTCCACACCGATTCTTAGATATCATGGTGTCCCCTTGAAATGGTTGGCAGCAAGCATAATTTGGGGCGGCCTGCAGATGATTCTAGGTTACAGAGCACAGACACAGTCACCTCTGCACCTCCCCTACTGAGCCACACCATGACAAGTTTAACAATATATGTGAACCTGAACCAATTATACTTCTTGATATAAAATAAGAATTGACAGAAAACAACTGACAGAACTTTATTGAACGTATTACTAAATAAATCACTTTATAATGTACTACTTATTTAATTTTCTTGTACCCAACCTTGAAAAAGAGAAAGCATACAAATAATAATGAATGGAGAGGACCCACATGATGTGACGTATGAGACAGGATATGGTTGAGTGGAGCTGCAGCCCTGCTGTTGTATTAACTTAGATGGAATATATAGGCCCAAAGAGTCAAAGGCATTAACATGACCCTGTCACACTGCCTAACATTAAATAGTTTTCAACAAGGTTCTGGGTTTGGTATACAGAAATTTCAGCCTTCTTAGTACCATTGCAAACACCATTAAAAGTCTCAGTATCTTTCTGGGTATCTAGTAAGGTGTTCTTAAATGATTCCCAATTATCGTTCACACTTTTCTGATCAAATTCTTCCTCCCAACTGATTTAACTCATAACTGTTTTTTAGCTTTGTGAAATTGGCCCTATTAAAGCACCATATTATATTAGGACTGTTAAACGATTTAAAAAATAATCGTGATTAATCACATGATTAAAAAATTAATTGTGCAATTAATCGCACTGTTAAACAATAATAGAATACTATTTATATAAATATTTTGGATGCTTCTACATTATCAATTATATTGATTTTAATTATAACACAGAATACAAAGCGTACACTCCTCACTTTATTTTTGATGACAAATATTTGCACTGTAAAAAACAAAAGAAATAGTATTTTACAATTCCCCCATTACAAGTACTGTAGTGGAATTTCTTTATCATGAAAGTTGAACTTACCAATGTAGAATTATGTATAAAAAATAACTGCATTCAAAAATAAAACAATTCAAAACAGAGCCTACAAGTCCACTCAGTCCTATTTCTTGTTCAATCAATCACTCAGACAAACAAGTTTGTTTACATTTCCAGGAGCTAATGCTTCCCACTTCTTCTTCACAATGTCACCTGAAAGTGAGAAGAGGTGTTCTCGTGGCACTGTTGTAGCCGACGTTGCAAGATACTTGTATGCCAGATGCGCTAAAGATTCAATGTCCCTTTATGCTTCAACCACTACTCTAGAGGACATGCGTCCATGCTGATGATGGGTTCTGTTCTTTAACAATCCAAAGCAGTGTAGACCAATGCACATTCATTTTCATCATCTGAGTCAGCTGTCACCAGCAGAAGGTTGATTTCCTTTTTTGGTGGTTTGGGTTCTGTAGTTTCCGCATCTGAATGTTGCTCTTTTAAGACTTCTGAAAGCATGCTCCACACCTCATCCCTCTCAGATTTTGGAAGGCACTTCAGAGTCTTCAACCTTGGGTCAGCTGCTGTAGCTATCTTTAGAAATCTCACATTGGTACCTTCTTTGTGTTTTTCAAATCTGCAGCGAAAGTGTTCTTAAAATGAACATGTGCTGAGTCATCACCCGAGACTGCTATTATATAAAATAAATGGCAGAATGTGGGTAAAACAGAGCAGGAGATATACTATTCTCCCCAAAGGATTTTAGTCAAAATTTAATTAATGAATTATTTTTTTAACAAGCATCATCAGCATGGAAGCATGTCCTCTGGAATGGTGGCCAAAGCATGAAGGGGCGTACGAATGTTTAGCATATCTGGCACGTAAATACTTTGCAATGCTGGCTACAAAAGTCCCATACGAACGCCTGTTCTTACTTTCGGTGACATTGTAAATAAGATGTTGGCAGCATTATCTCCTAGAAATGTAAACAAACTTTTTTGTCATAGTGATTGGCTGAACAAGAAGTAGGACTGAGTGGACTTGTAGGTTCTAACATTTTACATTGTTTTGTTTTTAGTGCAATTATGTAACAAAAAAAAATCTACATTTGTAAGTTGCACTTTCACAGTAAAGAGATTGCACCACAATACTTGTATGAGGTGAATTGAAAAATACTGTTTCTTTTGTTTATCACTCTTACAGTGCAATTATTTATAATAAAAAGTAATAATATAAAGTGAGAAGTATACACTTGTATTCTGTGTTGTAACTGAAATCAATATATTTGTTAATCTCTGCCATTTTGGTTTCGTGGCTTTTTTACATGCACTTTGCACAGTTGTATATAATGGCATAAAGCACAGGGCAATGGAGACCCAGACCTTAGATGTATTTAGTAAAAAGGCTGATAGTAGGGTGGAGCTAAAAGAAAGACAATAGGAAAGAGGTGCCATGGGGATATGGAGGGAAGTGGAGGGCTATGTTGTCAACACTCACTGGTTCTCTCTCTCTCTCTCTCTCAGGGAAAACTGAACAATTAAGTAGAGACAATGCAACCCTTGAGCTGCTGAGCCCCAAATATACAAATAGCAGACAATAGCATGTAAAATATATGGCTGACAAAGGCTCAAAATGAACAGAAGAGAAAGAAATGTTCTACAAGCACAGACAAAAAAAATCTTCACATAATTTCTTCCCTAACCAGTGCTTATTGTGTACATTGTGTTCATTAATCTGTGGGATTGCTGTTTCTAATCTAAAATAGTCTGTCAAGAGTCATCGCCTATATCAGTGATCAACTGTTACAATTCAAGAGAGAAAGAATTTTATAGCATTTCTAAACTCTTGCTTAGAGTAACAGAGGATTGTGGTTTTGTTTGCAATCAAAGGTTTGGTTTCCAGTCTGCCACCAGCAATCAAAGTTGTAACTGTATGTCCTACTAGCAGTTTAAACAGATTACTTGTCTTCAATTTATTTAATCAAAACCAAGTTATCCAGAGTGCTAAATCAAAGTGAAATACTTTGAATTTTCTTCTCTGGAAAGTTATATCAATATTTATTTGCAGTTCAAAGATTGTATTACATTTTTGTTATCTATTTCAAGGATTTTTTTTTCACAATATTTCTCTCTCTCTCTCTCTCTCACACACACACACACACACACTGAAGTCAAGTGAAGATCTACTTTTTAAGCTCACTGGTTGCACAAATCATCTGTTCCGTTCCTACAGCTAAATCTGTATAATGTATCATTGAAAATAGAATTTCATCCAGGGACTAATTTGGGACTCAAACTACTTGTAACCAAACTCATTTCTTAGTCACCACAAGGCACCATTCAAGCATTATGGCGTCCAAGTACCTAATCAAAATATACCTGATTGTCAAGCTATTCCAAAAGGACAGGAGACACTTGCTATGGTTT